TATGACCTCGCAGCTGGCCTTCCTAGCTGAGCCCATCCAAATCTCCAATGCAGACCAAAGTTTTGAGTGGCAGTTTTTACCAAAGCTGTCTCTGGAGCAAGGGTGGGCTCCCTGGGCATGACTGACAGACAGCTTGGTGAGCCTCCTACACTACCAGCAGGAGGAAATTCCCAGGCTGAGGGTAAGAGGAAGAGGCTGGGGTGTGCCAGGACAGCCTCAGCAGCCCGTACCAAGGAGTAGCACAGGGAGGAGAGTCCCAGGCAGATGGCCCATCAATACTACTAAACCCCACGGCTCACAAATACCAGAGGCCAGAGAGGAAGAGTGAAGAAAGAAAGAACATCTAAGAATGGATCAGACCACAGGGCACAGATTTAAGAGGACAGACTTGGGCCCAAGAAGCAAATAAGTTACCAAGAGGAGGAAATTGGGCAGATTAGATGGGCAGATTAAACACAAACAATTTTGAATCAAATTGGGCTTAAGGGCCATCAGCTTGACACTCAGGCCTACTCCAATTTTTCCCCACCCTAACACCCTTCACAAAACAAGCAGAAAGAAGGAAAAGGCTGTCCTGGGGCATTGTATGGTGGTGGGTTCAGGCAGGTAGGGAGGGGGTTAAAATTAAGCACAAACCCAGATTCCAAAGTTCTGTATTTTTCAAAATAAAGATCACACATTGTTTAGAGACAATCTACACAAGAGTTACAAAAAATAGGTTGCCCAGGCATAAGCATACACAGGTTTGTTAATTATACACATATGGTTACAAGTGTGCTTGCAAAAAAGTTCATTGGAAATATACACAAGGCTCTGGAAATGTACACCGTGTAGTGTTACAATTCTATATTCAAACAAGGAAAATTGACAGTATGTTACATTCACTTACAAGTAGACAAAATGCAAAATACAGTTCATCTTCTGTACAAAAAGGAAGGGCAATTCACACTTTACAAGGTGAAGGGGCCGAGTGTGGGGAAAGCTGGGACAGGGCTGAACTTCTGCACGTCCTTTTGACTTTCACAAAATAAGCAAAACATTACTTTTTAGGGTAAAAAAAAAAAAATACTAGTGTGAACTGAATCATTTTGAATAACATTTAGAAAGGATCTCGCTACTGTCTGACTAGCTGACAAATAAAACCAAGCTATTTTTTTTCTTTTTAAACATTAACTAGGCTGTATAAAGAACATTTATTCCTTCAAAAGAAAAAAAATTTACTTCTGGTTGAAATTACAATTTACAATATACAACACTATATGCTACGACCATAAAAGGTGAGAATATACACTGAATGCACAGGGCTGGCTAATTCTCTTTTCTTACCAAAAAACGTGTTTATGTTGATTCAAACTTCTCCACATTTACATTACAGGTATACAAATGTACAATTGTACAATCAAAAGTATGTTCGACTACTAGGGTACATTATAGATACAGATTAGACATCAAAACAAGAAAATACTACAAATTTGTATATATGCAAAGTCTACACCAAGTATACACTATATATTTATAGAAGCAAGACCAAAAGCAGAGTTGGATTTTTTTTCTCATGCTAAATAATCAGATTTTGCCTTTCAATGTTAACAGAAAAAAATCCAGTAGGCAGTAAACAGTCGCCCCGCCGGCCGAAGGCCGCTCTGGTGTTCACACCTCCTCCCTGCAGCTCAGACTACACCTTCTTCTCAGCAAAAGTCTCCAAAAAAGAGCAATTTTTAGAAGTCTCATAAACTTAATGTCAAAAACTGAGCTTCAGCAACTCGAAAGATTTGTTCATTTTATATATATATACATATGTATATGTATATTTTTATAAACAGTGTTAAATGCCAGTTTGGGTTCATTTAACTAAAATTCAAACTTCCCAGGTTTTTTTTTTTTGTTTTGTTTTTATTTTTTACTAAAATGAGGAGGTGGGGAAGAGCTATTTGCAAAACTTGCCAGCGAGGCAAATGAGTTAAAAACCTTTTTTTTCTTTTTTTTTTGAACTTTTTTTTGTTAAACCAACCACCCTGAAAGTTTCCACACGTGAAATATAGATACAACATTGAACAAAATATGTGGCCTCCCATGTACATTGGTTACTTATGTACAAGTATCCTATACACCAGTAAAACAGCAGGGCAATTAGTCAATTAAAAAAAATAATTAGTACATGTTATGTGTAATAAAATTAAATTTACAAAGGCTTTTCCACTTGTGGATTTGATTCCTTTTTGGAGGAGGGAGCAATCCCGGAGCAACCGATTGCCTATTTCAGATTCCACACTAGGACATTTCTGGTTGCTGGTTGGATCTGCCAGGGGGCCAGTGAGGTCAGCGGGAATGGGGAGAGGGGTGCACTGCTCAGATGATACCATTAGGGGGGCCACAGATGGGCCCCAAGTCCACACCATTCTTCATATAGTATTTCTCCAGCTTGGCCAGGATGTGCTTGCCATAGGTGTACTTGCGAAGAGTTGCAATATGGGGCCGGATCTGGGGAGGAAGGACAGCATGTGTTATAACAGGCAGGCCTGAGAAGAGACTGGCTGGCTCCAGGGAGCTCCCCTCCATCACCACAGTCCGCACACATGTGCATTTCTGACAGCAACACCCACTGGCCCCGCCAAATCCCCTGAGATCTTGAGAGTAACCCATCCAACCAGTAGGGCACTGGCACAAGGTGGGAGTGCTAGGGAAATTGGCAGCCATGGGCCACTCCCAGAAGCACACGGAGACAGCACATCCGGAATGACCATCTCAGAGTGCACAGCACTTCCCCACAAACACACCGGCAAGACCCCTTGGCCCCAGGCTCAGCATCCAGGTCACTTGAGCAGTGGGGGTTTTCAGATGTGGGCACCATTAATCCTGAACTCATCACCTGACCGTGTCTCTCTTAAGTTCACAGGAAGTTAATACTGATAAAAATTTAAATGGTAAAGATTATAAGCTAGGATGGCTACCCCATTTTAATGGTGGGGAGAAAAAAATGGAAGGTACAAGGTGCATCCATATGTTGGATAGATCAACATCAAGATCAAATGGCATGTGTGCGGCCCGGGTTCAATCCTCAGCACCACATACAAAGATGTTGTCTGCCGAAAAACTAAAAAATAAATATTAAAATTCTCTATAAAAAAAACAAAAAAAAGATCAAATGACTGGTAAGGGCACAGGTATTTGAGCCCAAACTGCCAGGATGCCCCAAAAGTCCTTTTGTTCCCCACTGTGCTCTCCCAGCACCCTGAGGCACTGGGCTCACCCTCCCCCTCTATGACCCAGGTGCCTCCTCAACTCCAGAGGCTTTCTCCTGCTCTTCTCCCTGAGCTCATCCAGCTCCCCAAGTCCTTAGCATCTCTGATAAGCAGAGGGCTGCTTCTCCATTAGGGGAGCCACAGATGGGCCCCGTTATTCTACACACTTCAGCAGTGTTTACTACCTTTTGCTCAACCCTCAATCTTTCCACACAAACATAAAGAACCATGGTTTATCAACCCGTTTCCGTATCCAAACTCGCCCTAATGCACATAAACACAGGCCCAAAGTGCCAGAGATGATGGGTGTTTTAGAATGAGAGCTCTGAGGGTGATAACCTGGCCTGTTCATTTGTGTTCTCAAATGAACCAAGGGTCAAGTAGATCCAGAAACCACCGACGAAACTCACATAGGACCTCAGACACAAATCACATAGTTCACTCCCACCTAAGTGCTACGTGGAAAGCAACTGGTTCCAACTGTGAGGTATGTGGAAGCAAAAACCTGCCTACCTCCCTAAACTTGTCTTTAAAATAAAGAATGCAAGGGCTGGAGTTCAGTGGTAGACCACTTGGCTAGCATGTGTGAGGTACTGGGTCTGATGATCCTCAGCACCACATAAAAATAAAGGTATTGTGTCCATATTTACAGGGAGGGGGAGATGAGGAGGAAGAGGAGGGGGAGGAGAGGGAGGAGGAGGAGAAAAGGAGGAAGAATGGAATAATGCTACATTTTGTCACTAGAACTTAAGGTTAAGGATCCCCTTGATTTGGGTAGCTCTTCTCCTGAAAACTAAGTGAGATTCAACTCATTTACCTTTATGGCTGGCTGGTGAGTCACGTCTCTTATTAAAAATCTTTAACTGTCTTCCAGTAAAATAACAACAAGAAGGCACATACATGTGTGCAATCCTGGTGTGCCCTGGTCTCTTATTTAGCTTAATAAGAGGTCAAAAATAACCAACCCACTCTCCTCCCAATGTTCCCCTTTGCTGACAGGGCACACCTAGTGATAAAAGAGGGGGAGAAGACCTAAGGACCTTCCTTCCTTGACTCCCCCAACCAATCATCTGCAAAACCCTGCTGATTCCAACTCCCCAATTCTGTCTACTTCTCTTCCATCCCAAAGTTGTCACCAGTTACTGGCTTAACTATTTTAACAATCTCCTGTCTAATCTTACCACTCCTCCAAGTTACAACGCCTGCTCAGCAGCCAGGACACTTATCTGAAACGTACACACATTGCTATCACCACAGTCCTGCTGGACTTTCTAGAATATAAAGTACAGTCATCTCTCTTGCCCCAAGACTTTACCCACCATGTTCCCTTTTCCTGGAAAGGTTTTTCAAATGTTACACATATAGGGGGCCTTGTCCATACCCATAAATTACAAGAGGCATACAGACATATTCTTATATGCTCCCACCCACAATCCTTATTTCCCTGCCACTACCACACTAATCTATACATAATTTGGTGTAGCCATATAATGCTTGTGCAGAGGATGGCCTGCCTTAGAGTACACACTTAGTATTTGCTAAAGGAATGAATGGATGGGCTTAAACTCCTTGACATTTCCAACACTCCCGTGCCTCCACACACCTCTCTGTGAAACTCGCCTGTCTGAAGGACCCTGGAATTCCCCAGACTTCAACTGTCATTGCCAGCACCAGTGCCGTGGTGTGGCGTGTGGTGGCCTAGCATGGTGTGGTGTGGTGTGGTTTGGGTGGGTTTGCACAGGAGGTGGAGGGTGTCTGTCTGGCTCAGAATTGAGTCCGTAACAAAGATTCTCATTACTGAACTCCGTTCTCAGTGAGGGCAAGTGGGTCATCATTGCCAGACAGCAGCAACCTCTGCATTGAGAAGGGCTAAGGGTTCAGATCAGAGCACCCTGAGGCTCAGGGCACTGCTTGGCACAAACACAGCTGAGCATGCCCTTCCTGCCCGTGGGCTCAGTTTGCCTCCTGGGTGCGTGATCTGGGTGGATCTGCTCTGACTATTCCTGAAGCTGTGGATCTCCTCTTCAGGGGACGTCTCTGTTGGTTCCCCACTTTTCAAAGTTTTGTCTCCATTCCCCTAACTCCTCTCAGTCTTGTCTTCCAGCCTTCCCTGGGGGACACAGTGAAGGGAGAAGGGTCCCTCTCACACATGTTCCTCTGCTTTCCATTGCTCTTCCCCACCAGACCCCACAGCCTGAGGGCAGAGAGGTCTTAGCTGTCTCTGAGCCACCCAGATCAATGTGCCAGGTGTGCAGTGTACTGGGCAGGCAGCTGTTCAGTGAGCGCTGGTGGAATGGGTGAACAGGGAGGGAGGAGAATAGAAAATAAGGCAGGCAGGTTGACTTGTCTAAATTAATAATAAAGTGATCTCTTAGGGGTTATGAAGAAAAATCTCATTTAAAAAAATGAGCTTACAGGGTTGGAATTGTGACTCAGCGGTAGAGTGCTTGCCTAGCATGTGTAAGGCCCTAGGTTCGGATCCTCAGCACCACATAAAAATAAAATAAAGATTAAAAAAAAGAGAGAGAGAGCTTACGAGGTTTACACAGTGAGTTATTAGCAGGAGAGGTAAACATGTGGACAATGGCAACTTCACAGTAAAAAAGGGGGGGGCAGGAGCAGTGATGTACTCCTGTAATCACAGAAACTCAGGAGGCTGAGGCAAGAGGATTGCAAGTTTGAGGCCAACCTGGGCAGTTCAGCAAGACCCTGTCTCAAAACTAAAACACAAAAAGGGCAGGGATATAGCTTGGTGGTAGAGAGCCCTGGGCATCAGCCCATAGTACCAGGGGCAAAGAGAGAGAGACAAAAAAGAAATGCAGCACAGGGCACCATCTAGTGGCAGACTCCGCAGAAACACACAACTGTCTTGCACACCTTCTCTTTTTGAGTTTCTGTCCAGCCTACCTTATGCATGACAATCTTCCGCTGGCCTGGCTCTGCCACATCAATCATTTTCTGGACCACATAGTTGGCATACTGGTCCTTCATCATGGTATATAAGGCACTGTGGGGACCATCGTTCATGGTGCAGACCTCATCGATGAGCACAGCACGCTCTGTACGTGAGGCGTGGGTGACACACTTCTCCACAACATTGCTGTAATGAGACGAATCCATTGTCAGGTGTCAGAAGAGGATCCCCTCTTAGGTTGTGCTTCTAGCCTCTCCCCTCACTCAGGATTAGCAACAAGAGAGATCTCGCATTCGTGGAGAATTAGTGTATCCACTGTCTGGCTCTGTAAGAGTCTATCTCTGCCACCTGATGTGTCCAACAGTGAATCATGTCTGAGACTAGGTCTTTCAGGGGTGGGGACCTAAACTTCCATGAGGTGAGGGTAACAAGCCTGGATGAATAAAAAAAAACAAGTTTATGGGACTGGTCTTGTTAACATCCTAATTGGCTGATTATTATTTCAACATTTATCAATATCTATCAATTCTTTCCTCACTTGATGTCTATCACCTGCTATTGGCACAGAGCATGATACTTGGCAGAAACTCTAGTCTTGCTGAAGGAACCCACAAGGCAGGGCCATGGCACTTTTGGTCAACTACCACATGCTGTCTCTCAAGAGTATAAGACGACCCAAAGTTTGTCAATACATCTAAACATTTCACAAATATGTCATATTGAGAAAGGAAAGGAGGGGTGCAGTTCCATTAGAGCAGTATTCCTGTAACCCACTGGGCTACAGATGTTGACTGAATTACATGCTGCCGCGCTGATGGCCGTTTACCATCCCACAGTGACTGTGCACTGCTGTGAGATGACACCGTGCAGGGTCATGAGCGATGCCCATGCCGTGTGCTTGCACTGCTGGAATGGAACCGACGCCTGGCAGGGAGAACTGGAGGTTTATGTGTGCACATGGTGGTGGTGGTGGGATGCGCTGAAGGCTTCACAAAGCGGGAAAGAGCTGCTCCAGGTCACAAAACCCTCAAGCAGAAATGAGCATAAAGCTAGTGCATAGCACTTTGCTAACTATTCTGTGAGACGGCCACTTCATTGTAGGCTGGAAACTGCCAATGACTCACAGGTGGCTACTTTCTAGGGCAGCCTAACTAACAAGTGAGGTCTCAATGAATCTTCTGCCTTATATACCAGAGCACACACACTTAGGTGCTGCATTTCTTTTCTCTAGTTTCCATGCTGCAATGTTGTAAGATTCGACAAATTAAAAGGGAACATTAATAAACATCAAGGTTTTTGTATGAGTCCTATTATCTGCCTTGCAATTCACCCAAAAAAAAAAACAGAAAATATTCTAAAAATAGAAAGAACTATGTTATGTGGAAAACAGAAAATACAGAATCAACTCAGAAGGCTGACCACAAGGAAGAGCCATCAATTTTTCTCCAGTTTCTGCTACTTACAAGTTAACAAAAACACCTTTGCCAACCTGGGAAAAACAATCTCACTGCATTCTTAAGCCTGCACACTTTGAAGCTGGAGAAGAGATTCTGAGAACACTAAGTCCTGTGCAGACATGGCCAACTGCCTCTCTCAGCCAGAAAGAAGCCTGCCTCACGAACATTTCACAATTCCAAAACACTAAGTTAATAAAATGCCCAGTGAAGTAAAGTGTAATACTTTAGAAACACAGTCCCCAGATTTCACTGTGGCTAGTTTCTCAGGGAGTTTATATAAGTTATATAAGGTCCATGCTTTGTAGAACTATTTGAGTTTTTAACCTGTCTGTACTAATAAAATAAATAAATAAATAAACATCAAAAAGGAGAGAATGACCACTAATTCTTTATCTTAGCTGAAATACTACTTAACCCTCTCTTCTAGAAAACCAGCTTTATAACTGAAAGCACATACCTTGCAAATTTGTGCTGACTCAACACAAGTACATTGCCTCGAATTTCTGCTACAATTTTGCTTTTATCCTCAGGACGACCATGTTCTAATACATGCTGGATTACATAATTTCCATACTGATCCTATTTGAGAAGTAACAATCGAAAGAAAATTTAAGTTAAAAACCAGTTCTGTGGGTTCCCTAATTTCTTGGGATTGAATAAGGGGTACTACACCACTGAGCCACATCCCCAGCCTTTTTAAATATTTTATTCAGAGACTTGTTATTGTGAGGCTGGCTATGAACTCATGATCCTTCTGCCTCGGCCTCCGAGCAGCTGGGATTACAGGCATGAGCCACCACTCCTGGCAGGTTCCCCAAGTCTTTAGCACCTATCTTTCTTGTAGCGCCAGTAAGGCTCTAATGAACACAAGAATTTTTTTAATAGACAAGTAATTTTTCCTTGTCATTACAAAATAGGAACACATTATTAGACAATGAAATATTTCTCTCCACATGTTTATGCCCAGAAGCTCTGGTTAGGTTCTTCATAAATTACTAGATATAGAAAAGTAGGCCTATATCATTTTAGAAGAGGAAGGGAGGAAGTAAAGAGTCATTATTCTTAAACAGAAATGTACAAATTCCTTTACCTTTCTAGGCTGGAGGAAAAACTAGAAAGATTCATGTCCAACAAAATAGGCAGATCTAATTACTTAATAATTGGAAGAAGCAGAAATAGAAAGTAGAAAGCCAAAAAAGAAGAAATCACCTAATCCACTTAGTTCATTGGATAATAATGAGATTGAGACTCTGAGGGATTAAATAGTCTGTCTGAGATAAACAGTCCACCCTAGCTCTCAAAGCTATACCTCCCAGCTATAGGCTTGGCCAGTGCTCATTGCCCAGGTTCAAGACACTAACCACCCTGCTATGAAAACATGCCCAAAAGATTCAAAGAGCATGAATTAAAATACATTAAGCCGGGCACAGTGGCGCACACCCTGAAATCCCAATGGCTCCAGAGGCCGAAGGAGAAGGATCACAAGTTCAAAGGCAACCTTAGCAATTTAGAAAGGCCCTGACTCAAAATAAAATATAAAGAAAGCTAGGGATGTGACTCAGTGGGTAAGCACCCTGGGTTCAATCACCAGTCCAAAAACAAAAGAACACATCAACCTTTTCTGGAACAGATACTTATGCTAACAACACACACAAGAATGGGGCCTACAGAAGCCTACCAGCGCTTGCTCATTTTATCTACTGGCAACTCCAGTACCTGTACAAGTTGCTCTGTATGCTGGTGAAGTTCCTCTAGAATAGGGAGGGTCTGGTCAGGGAGACAATGCTCCAGGATTCTCTGAATCACTCGGCAGCCATAAGGGTGCGTGGACAAAGCAAACACCTAGATAAAAAGATACAAAGAAGAAATTCAAAATGGCGCTTGTCACTTTCAATGCTTCAGTAACATTTATATCATTGATATTTACAGATTTAACTAAATGGCCTTTAAATTCTCTCTACAAATATAACATTAGAAGCATGTGTCTTTTATATGTAAATAAACCCATTTCTTAATTATTTTATGAATTCATATGTATGCACATTCAGAGCTGAAAAGAATTTTTCCAAGGAATCTGGAAGGAACACAGAATTAGTCAAGGTCAGGGAAAACAGCTGAGAATCAGGAATGTCAATCCAAAAGACAGGATTAAAAACAGAAAAAGGATGGCTGAGGGATGCAGCTCAATGAGAGAATAATTGTCTAGTGTGCGCACAGCACTGGGTTCAATTCACAGCAAAGCCAAAAAAAATAATATTATTATTATTAAAAGAGGAAGAAAAAGGAAAGGGGGAAACCAACCAACCACCCACCCCCCCAAAAAAAAAAAACCAAACAGAAAAGGGCTAGGATCAAGTCCTGAATGCTTTCACATAAACACACCAACTACATACAATCAATCATCTGAGTTTAACTGGGTTTGAAGAATTAGGAAAGCACAGGTGCTATAGATCCAGAACACCCAATCTTGT